CATGGCCACTCCATCCCTGTCAGCTGTCACTATACCATCAATAAACATGGCCGCTCCATCCCTGTCAGCTGTCACTATACCATCAATAAACATGGCCCCTCCTTCCCTGTCAGCTGTCACTATACCATCAATAAACATGGCCGCTCCTTCCCTGTCAGCTGTCACTATACCATCAATAAACATGGCCTCTCCTTCCCTGTCAGCTGTCACTATACCATCAATAAACATGGCCGCTCCTTCCCTGTCAGCTGTCACTATACCATCAATAAACATGGCCACTCCTTCCCTGTCAGCTGTCACTATACCATCAATAAACATGGCCACTCCTTCCCTGTCAGCTGTCACTATACCATCAATAAACATGGCCTCTCCTTCCCTGTCAGCTGTCACTATACCATCAATAAACATGGCCGCTCCTTCCCTGTCAGCTGTCACTATACCATCAATAAACATGGCCACTCCATCCCTGTCAGCTGTCACTATACCATCAATAAACATGGCCGCTCCTTCCCTGTCAGCTGTCACTATACCATCAATAAACATGGCCGCTCCTTCCCTGTCAGCTGTCACTATACCATCAATAAACATGGCCGCTCCTTCCCTGTCAGCTGTCACTATACCATCAATAAACATGGCCGCTCCTTCCCTGTCAGCTGTCACTATACCATCAATAAACATGGCCTCTCCTTCCCTGTCAGCTGACACTATTCCATACTTCCATTAGTCCCTGGCCTTATCTTATAGTTAGGATAGCCTTATGCCTCTCCCACGCATGCTTAAACTCCTTTACTGTGTTAACCTCTACCACTTCAGCTGGAAGGCTATTCCATGCATCCAGTACCCTCTCACTAAAGTAATACTTCCGGATATTATTTTTAAACCTTTGCCCCTCTAATTTAAAACTATGTCCTCTTGTTTTGGTAGTTTTTCTTCTTTTAAATATAGTCTCCTCTTTTACGATGTTGATTCCCTCTATGTATTTAAATGTTTCTATCATATTCCACCTGATAGAATCAAAGTAATGTGCTGTGTGTATCCCAGAGCTCCGCAGTAATGTGCATTTACATATTCCATCACTGACTCACCTCCCCATACTAACGCTCTCCTGTCCCTGCATTGACCAGGTTTAAGGTGAATATAAAACGCTGAAATCTCTTTGGAATGGAGATTATTTGGGAATACTGTTCAGAAGGATGTATTGCTGACTCCATAAAGTGACAGTCCACACAAATATCTGATCACACGTGTAGCAATCAGCAATAAATCAGACGCACACTGTTTAAATCCCATTCACTTTATTAAATGAGGCCGCATTTAGGAAATGGCGTACAAGACAGGAGACTTTATAACAGATAACAGCTGGGATAACTTATAAATACGGCCCACACAAGACAAAGCAACATTATCACTGCACAGGTAGCAGTACGGTAGCTAATGGTCGAACACGAAAAAAACGGAGGCTTCCCACAATACCTGCGCCCTAAACTGTGGCAGAGGAAGCCACTGCTGGGTTTGCCTCTGGTGGTCTGCGGTATAGAGGGGGATACAAGCAAAGCATCGGTGCACTGGCTTAAAAGCCACTGTGTCTATGATCCCAAGATAAATAAAGAGCAATGAATTTATCGTTCTGTAGTAAAACATGAGATCCCTACTGATTGTTCTGGGGTTTAACTGAAACACATTGCTTTCTAGTGTCATGAATTGATAGATCGCAGAACTTTGCAGCTGTAGACACAAGTTTTCTGTGTCCGCAATGTACTTCCATTTGGTCAAGCTCTGGTTAAGTCAATTTATAACCCTTTTAATGTCATAGGTATGTGTGAACTTTCCCTCTGGAAATTAAAAGGTTTCAAAAAGGAAATTAATTAGCATAATTAGTACAATTTAACTCTATTATAGGGGTCAACACATCCCACCCCCACCCTGCCCACTCTCCCTGAATCCATGCAACGGCTTATACACGGGGCTCAGCTCCTGCACCAGACAGGATTACACCACGCCAAACCCCAGGGAACCGCAGGTTAAGCACATGCGATAATGCAGGAGTAGACTCCAAATAATGTGTTTAACCCTAACAGTGCCAGAGTTAACTATAACGTTCGACTTAGAAATAGATTACAATTTTCTCGGGCATTTCAGGGGTTAATCTAAAATCCCCACAGCAACTTGCCTTGTGATACTTCATTGGATTGAAATATACGGGACATTATCAAGCACCACATATGCACAGAGATAGGGGAGGTATTATGTCCTAGAATTGGGCTGAGATAAAATAAATACGAGTTTTAGCTTTCACTCCCCATCCACTATTTCTACCATGGGCTCGATATTCTGGGGAGGTGGGGAGTTCACAGGGTCCAAGGCTTTAGCGCAAGTCTTCTTCTTCGCCTTGGATTGTCTTCTTGATACGAAGTAGCATGGTGGTCAACCACTGGTCCAAGCGTGAGATAGAATCAAACTCCTTAACCTGGAGAACACACAGGGATAGAGATTAACACATTACAGTGGGGCCTGTCAGAGTATTTATATCGGCAGACATTTTGTGCTATGATAGAAACTAAAAGTGTACATTCTGAGTCACTCTGAACAGACCAGACTCCATTTTGTTATTCCAAATTAACAAAGAAGACACTAGATTTCTTTCTGTAAGACTGGCCTCTTTGCCAGAGCTAAGGAATGTATAGCATAGTATAAACAAGTGATAAGAAGAATATAATCAAATCTAAACCCAGACAATTGTGACAGAGAAGATTAAATAATAAAATTTAACTGTCTATATACATATAAGGTACCATTGTATGGAAAAGGGGTAAACTTAGTTCATGATCTGTCATATCAGAAATTATAGCAGATTTGCAGACACATAGTCTGGACAAAATTTAAGAACCCCTTTGATCTTTGAAGGATACGTAAGTTATAGCCACTATCTAGATAGGCCAAAATGACGTCAAAATAGCCACCAGGAAAAGTTAACTCTTTCCTGGATAGGTATGTTTAGTGGGACAAGACTGCCCTCTACAGACCAAATAACTAATTTGCGATCTGGAAGATAACCACACCTCTAGTGCTTCTATTGGGTTATCAACTGATGACGTACAGAGAGTCTGGCCCTTTAAAAGTTAAGACAAAGGGAAGATAGAGATAGAGAGGCAGATGCAAGAGATGCAAAGGAGAGGAGAGAGGAATTGGAAGTTTGGGGACTCCAACCTCCATGCAGAGAGAGACATCCAAATAAGTTCCTGAGACTACCAATCGGATGAAATATCTACTCAACTGGTAATTATACTGGTTTCATTAAATTAAATTAATTAAAATGTATTAATAGCATTATATATGACTGGATAAAGCACGGTCAGATTTCCATATTAAGAAATCTTAGTTAACTAAGAATATATAGTTATAAACATTCCATTCTGCAGGTGGAATTAAGAATAATTATATATTGATGTGATATTATCACGTGTTAGCATACCGCTGTTTTTATCCAGGTGTATTGATTTGCTCTAAATTAAGATGGATATCTTTTAGACAAATTAAAAATCTGCTTATATAATATGTTAGATTCTCTTATTGGATGGTTTTCAGGAAATGACTAGTGAACTGGTTTAAATGTTATTTTATTTAAAAATTACATAGGAATAGATCTTAACTATCTAGGAGATCTAGCCAGCATTGAAAGGGTTATTCTAACTGTCTGCTAAACTTTACGACCTTACGCTGCACTCTGAGGAATTCTGTTCTTCGCTGTGAAAAGTTTCACTTAAGTCTGTGTTAAGGATACCTCATAAATCGTCAGAATTCTTGACAGAAAATGCCGTTTAGCCATTGAAACGTAATACCCATTTCTTTGTATTGCATATCATTTTATACTGAATATTCATTGATTATTGTCATGCATGTTACATATATTATTATTAATTAATTTGTCATATAAATAAAAATCTATTTTTATACATTGTGATTATTTATATGAAATACATTCCACTTAACACGATAAACGTTCTTTGGGATCTGAGAATTTAATTAGTGGGCAATTCTCACTGTTACTATTATCATCCCATAAATATCCCCACAGGCCATCTAAGCATAAGGCCAGTTCAAAGAAAATGGAAGCATCTGTAACATTCCCACAGCTATAGGAAAGACCTGGACTCATACATGTCACAGGGAATTGCAGTCCTACTTCTACACACAGAAGTCACACACACATCCCCCCCGCCCCCTCTCCATGGTCCCCTGGAAAGAGAAGCAGCCGTGCAAATGTTCCATCAATGACTCAACCAATCTCTGCACAAAGCCTGATTCAGCACACAGACAGCAGTCTTGGTACAGCTCAGGACAGGACAGCTGCGTATACACAGACAGCAGGCACAACGAAGGTCAGCTTCGTACACACAGACAGCAAGCACAGCGCAGGAAAGCTTCGTACACACAGACAGCAAGCACAGCGCAGGTCAGCTGCGTACACACAGACAGCAGGCACAGCGCAGGTGAGCTGCGTACACACAGAAAGCAGGCACAGCGCAGGAGAGCTGCGTACACACAGAAAGCAGGCACAGCGCAGGAGAGCTGCGTACACACAGAAAGCAGGCACAGCGCAGGAGAGCTGCATACACAAAGAAAGCAGGCACAGCGCAGGAGAGCTGCGTACACACAGAAAGCAGGCACAGCGCAGGAGAGCTGCGTACACACAGAAAGCAGGCACAGCGCAGGAGAGCTGCGTACACAGAAAGCAGGCACAGCGCAGGAGAGCTGCGTACACACAGAAAGCAGGCACAGCGCTGGAGAGCTGCGTACACAGAAAGCAGGCACAGTGCTGGAGAGCTGCGTATACACAGAAAGCAGGCACAGCGCAAGAGACCTGCGTATACACAGACAGCAGGCACAACGCAGGACTGCTGCGTATACACAGACAGCAGGCACAACACAGGACTACTGCGTATACACAGACAGCAGGCACAACGCAGGACTGCTGTGTATACACTGACAGCAGGCACAGCGCAGGACTGCTGCGTATACACAGACAGCAGACACAGCGCAGGACTGCTGCATATACACAGACAGCAGGCTCAGCGCAGGACAGCTGTGTATACAGACAGCAGGCACAGCATAGTTGCATATACAGCATGGGAGAACTGCATTGATTAGTGCGTGCCGGGACACCGATCAGTCATAACACTATTAAACCATTATTACACAGTGACAATTGCTGTAAGAGAACAACAGACTGAGTGAGCTGATAATACAACTGTTACATTCTAGTGCTATCTGTATGATAAAGTGCTGACAGGAAACAGAAAAAAAAACAAAAAAAAAAAAACCAGATCTGGTTTGTCATGACAAGAACACAATAAACAGTCTGAAAATAAACATTTGCTGTAAAAATGTATTCTTTGTACTGTCCCCACCTAACCAGAATGTAACACCAGCTTTTTACCTCTGTGTTACCATCTCCTGAAATCACTCACTACCGATCTCTGTGGACAAAGGAAGCTACGAATTACACGTACACAGGTTTTATATATTAGTTCCTCTCCCTGGGGCCGCAATCGAAGTTTTTTTTTTTTTTTTTAGAAAAATCAACCTACCGCATCTGTGTAATTATCCATGTTCTGTTCCTCATGTGCGTCCAACAGTTTCTGCCAAGTGGAAAAAACAAAACACATTAAAACACAAGTCACCTGAGAGATACGCACATCAGTTCAGGGCAGGAACTGTCTTAACTATCCACACATTCTGCTTCGTTATACAGGTGATACTCTAAATTTGAATATTGTGCAAAAGTTCATTTATTTGAGTAATGCAACGTAAAAGGGGAAACTAATATATGAGATAGACGCATTACATGCAAAGCAAGATAGTTCAAGCCGTGATTTGTCATAAGTGATTATGGCTTACAGCTCATGAAAACCCCAAATCCACAATCTCAGTAAATTAAAATATTGTGAAAAGGTGCAATATTCTAGGCTCACAGTGTCCCACTCTAATCAGCCAAGCAAGCCATAACAGCTGCAAAGGGTTTCTGTGCCTTTAAATGGTCTCTCAGTCTGGTTCAGTAGTAATCACAATCATGGGGAAGACTGCTGACCTGACAGTTGTGCAGAAAACCATAATTGACACCCTCCATAAGGAGGGAAAGCCTCAAAGGGTAATTGTGAAGGAAGTTGGATGTTCCCAAAGTGCTGTATCAAAGCACATTAATAGAAGGTTATGTGGAAGGGAAAGGTGTGGAAGAAAAAGGTGCACAAGCAGTAGGGATGACCACAGCCTGGAAAGGATTGTCAGGAATAATGTTCAAAAGTGTTGGGGAATTTCACAAGGAGTGGACTGAGGCTGGAGTCAGTGCATCAAGAGCCACCACACACAGACGGATCCTGGACATGGGCTTCAGATGTCGTATTCATCTTGTCAAGCCGCTCCTGAACAACAAACAACGTCAGAAGCGTCTTACTTGGGCTAAAGAAAAACAGACCTGGTCTGTTGCTCAGTGGTCCAAAGTCCTCCTTTCCGATGAGAGCAATTTTTGCGTCTCATTTGGAAACCAAGGACCCAGGAGTCTGGAGGAAGAATGGAGAGGCACACACTGCAAGATGCTTGAAGTCCAGTGTGAAGTTTCCACAGTCTGTGTTGATTTGGGGAGCCATGTCATCTGTTGGTGTTGGTCCACTGTGCTTCATTAAGTCCAGGGTCAACACAGCTGTCTACCAGGAGATTTTGGAGCACTTCATGCTTCCTTCCGCAGACTAGCTTTATGGGAATGCTGACTTCCTTTTCCAGCAGGACTTGGCACCTGTCCACACTGCCAAAAGCACCAAAGCCTGGTTCAATGACCCTGAGATTACTGTGCTTGATTGGCCAGCAAACTCGCCTGACCTGAACCCCATAGAGAATCTATGAGGCATTGCCAAGAGAAAGATGAGAGGCATGAGACCGAACAATGCAGAAGAGCTGAAGGCTGCTATTGAAGCAGTAATTGCTGCAAAAAGGGGCCCAAACCAAGTACTGAGTCCATATGCATGCTTATACTTTTCAGAGGTCCGATATTGTTCTATGTACACTCCTTGTTTTATTGATTGCATGTAATATTGTAATTTACTGAAATTGTGGATTTGGGGTTTTCATGAGCTGTAAGCCATAATCATCGCACTTATGACAAATCACGGCTTGAACGATCTTGCTTTGCATGTTATGCGTCTATTTCATATATTAGTTTCCTCTTTTACGTTGCATTACTCAAATAAATGAACTTTTGCACGATATTCACATTTTTCAAGTATCACCTGTATGAATATCAGTCACAGACTATCTCTCCTTGTATCACTGCACTGACCACAGAGATAGTCCTATAATGATTGATTTTTAACATTAAGTGCTTCTTTTCGTATTTAGGTGCAACCAAACGGCCCCCAGATTAATAAACTTTTTTTTTTTTTTTTTTTTAAAGCAATGAAACGTCACTGTAACCCAGCGCTGGTATAGCCTCCTCTGTGCAGCCACTCCCCTTCCAGTGATGACGACTTTGGTCGGATGAAAAGCTTTGGACAACTACAACGCTCCCCAACCCATTCATTCTCACTGAACCATTAAGAGCATTCGGCGTCATGTTGGACACCAAATGTAAAGACGGTCAATTTTATTATATATTGATGCCATCCAAAATCTAGCCGAACTGGTTCTCTGCAGAACACCTACTTGCAAAATTTACACTAAAATTTGGAATACTTGGGCCATTTTGAGAATTATCTAACTTGTTGAATTTAAAACCAAATAGGCAATATATCCCTTTTAATGAGAAAGCCTCAAACTGAAATGTAAAGAACTTCCTGTTCTATAAAATGAGAAGTGACTGTGCGTGTGTTGGAGAACTCCGGGATTTCTTTACCTTGAGCAGTTTGCACTCTCTGGAGTCAGAGAAAGCTGGGAACATCTCCTCATATTTCTGGACCGCCAGCTGTAAAGATAGAACATTCTGTAACCAGGATATCCACAAGGAATATGAAGAAAGAGGCCATCACCAGCTCCTTACCTTGGCATTCAGCATATCAATGCAGAAATGGCAGAGCGCGGCTTTGAAGAAGTAATCCTTGGCACTGTATTTCAGCAACGGGCTGTCCATGGCGTTGGTTCCCACCTGAAAGGAGGCGAGCCATGGGAGAGTCAGGCAAGATTAAAAGACGGCATATCTCTAAAGATCCCCAAATGGAATCCTAGCAGACAGACAGACCCACCTGTTCGTAGATTTCCACAGCTTTCTGATACTGCTCCAGCTGAGCTGCATATGTAGCCACTTTCAGCAAACATTTATTGGCAGAACTATCGGAGAAAGAAACTCAGTGAATGTGGAGATTGATTAGCAGTATCTTAACACCTTAAGAACCAAACTTCTGGAATAAAAGGGAATCATGACATGTTGCACATGTCATGTGTCCTTAAGGGGTTAAAGCTCTTATTAACCCCTTCTCTCCTAGCCTTCTATATATACACACAGACTTCACCTACTTAGCTATATAGGATAGAAGGGTACCAGATACACTCCAAACAGACTAAGCACTTCAGCTTGTGCCCGCTTTGCTTCTTTTTAGAAAAATTAACATTTCAACAGAAGTTAGGACTTTTATAATTTAAAACAAAAAATAAAATACAATTCTTTATTTTTGCAATGGCAGATTGCATGGTAAAGTAAAATTGTTAGGCTTGTGTAAAAGCCATATTATAGTACGTGTCGACTATGTATTATAGAAAGAAAAAAAAAAAAAAGTAGAGAGTTATTTTGTTAAGGCTTTTCTTCATGTTGTGGTGATCGACTTGGTCGCAATCCGCCAGAGTTTAGTTTTTTTATGGTTAAAGAAGAACAATAACAGAAAACAAATAACCTTAGAAAGTATTGTATTTAACATACTATGTAGGAGCGGGGGACTTTTATAATTTGACTTTGTTGTACCTCCTGGCTGTCATTCAGACTGTGACGGACCTCCCATACTACCTCCGCCAAGTCTGCTTACGGGTACCCTGGAACGTTTCAGCCCAGGAGCTGAAGATTGACTGGGGTCTCCCGAGCAGGCTGCAGCTCTCCTTCCAGGCAGGTATACACACCTATGCCTGCAGTGTGAACAGATCCTGCCTTTATAAAGACACTTGCAGCTCTCAGGCCTAGCTCTCTTATTGACCTGTCCTGGGCTAGTGGGATACTTTCTGCTTTGTTAGCTCTGTGAAGCTTAACTCAAAAGCATAGTTGGACCACATGCATAGTTGGACTACAAGGCTTCCCAATGAGAAACCTCTCATTGGTTATTGGCACTGGTGAGGGAATAAAAGGAGGGCTTACATAGAAACAGAATAAGAACCATTCTGTCCAATTTTCTAAATACTTTCAATAATCCCTGGCCTTATCTTATAGCTAGGATAGCCTTATGCCTATCCCATGCATGCTTAAACTCCTTCACTGTGTTAACCTCCAAGCTATACATGTTAAGTTCCTTAAACCTTTCCTGGTACGTTTAATTCTGCAATCCAGGAACCAGTGTAGTAGCCGTTCTCTGAAGTATCAATATCCTTCTGAAAATATGGTCTCCAGTACTGCGTACAATACTCCAAGTGAGGTCTCACCAGTGTTCTGTACAATGGCATGAGCACTTCCCTCTTTCTACTGCTAATACCTCTCCCTATACAACCAAGCATTCTGCTAGCATTTCCTGCTGCTCTATTACATTGTCTGCCTACCTTTTAAGTCATCAGAAATAATCACCCCTAAATCCCTTTCCTCAGATGCTGAGGTTAGGACTCCATCAAATATTCTGTACTCTGCCCTTGGATTTTTACGTCCAAGATGCATTATCTTGCACTTATCCACATTAAATGTCAGTTGCCACAAATCTGACCATTTTTCTAGTTTACCTAAATCATTTGCCATTTGGCTTATCCCTCCTGGAACATCAACCCTGTTACATATCTTAGTATCATCAGCAAAAAGACATACCTTACCATCAAGACCTTCTGCAATATCACTAATAAAAATATTAAAGAGAATGGGTCCAAGTACAGATCCCTGATGTACCCCACTGGTGACAAGCCCAAGCTTCGAATATATCCCATTGACTACAACCCTCTGTTGCCTGTCACTCAGCCACTGCCTTACCCATTCAACAATATTTGAATCCAAACTTAAAGATTGCAGTTTATTGATAAGCCTTCTATGTGCAACAGTGTCAAAAGCCTTACTGAACTCTAGGTAAGCAATGTCTACTGCACAACCCTGATCTATAATTTTAGTTACCCAATCAAAAAAATCAATAAGATTAGTTTGGCATGATCTCCCTGAAGTAAACCCATGTTGTCTCTGATCTTGAAATCCATGTGTTTTTAGATGTTCATCAATCCTATCCTTTAACATGGTTTCCATCACTTTCCCCACTACTGAAGTAAGGCTTACTGGCCTATAGTTTATACATACAAAATATAGCAGTGATTTTTCTTTACATCTTGTTTTGTGAATAATTTCATGCTGTGCTTGGATTTTATTTATTCTTACTGGCAGATAGTTGCCCGACTCCTCCCTACTACCTTTCTTGTGAGTTGGCACAACTTTTGCTAATTTCCAATCTTCTGGGACTACTTTGCTAGTACACCACTAAGTTTCTTTAATAACCTTGGGTGTATCCCATTAGGCCCCATCGACTTATTTGTCTTAACTTTAGAAAGCTCTGTAAACTCACATGTAACAAATGATTAAGTCTTTTTTTAACCTTCATTTCCATCTGTAAAAAAAATTCCATTGACGAAACTTCTTTCTTTTGTTTTTAATCTAACTAATCCTTGTTTTACTTTCCTTTTCTCATTTATGTATCTAAAAAAAAAAAAAAATGTTTTGTCCCTTTTTTGTTTTTACTGACTGTGCTATTTTCTCTTCTGTGTGTGATTTGGAAGCTCTTATAACTTGATTTGCCACTTTCTGCCTAATCTTTTAGATCTGTCTATCTTCCTCAATCTTTTTTTTTTTTTCTTTAACTACTAAATGTTAACTTTTTTATTTTTACTATATTGGACACTTCTGCAGAGTACCACTGTGGTTTCTAATCTTTTTTGCTCTTACTGACAAACCTAATGGAATTTTCGGTTGCCTTCAGGAGTGCAACTTTTAAATAATCCCATTTCTCTTAGACTCCATTTAAACTTCTCCAATCTGATAATCACTCCTTTATGCATTTTCTAATTTTAAAAAAGTCTGTTTTTCTAAAATCTAAAACTTTTGTTTTTGTGTTGTGTGAGTCACTTTTTTATATTAAACTACACCGACTGACTTGCAGGAGCTACAGTTATTGCAAGCCAAAATTCCATATACCTCAAAAGAAAATATGCAAAACTGTTTACATTCATTTTAAAGCATTCCAAGGAATGAGAGAGCGTTACCTATTCGATTCCTCCCCTTTGTAGTAATCTGCTGCTTGTTCATAGTGAGCGATTGCCTGGAGGGAGACAGCAGGACTGTATGAGAATTCAGCAAAGCTCCATTACAGGATTAATATAGACCCCCTGATGCCTCCATAGCGATGTAAGTTCAGAAAGATCCACTCACCTTCTCTATATCCACTAACTCAGCTTCGTAAATTTCAGCGATGGTGATGTGATGTTTGGCTGCAATTGTAAACCTTCCCTGGAGCAGACAAAGCATGAGGATTATGTGGAAATGTTTGAAGGGTTTAAGAGGAAGAACCTCTAGTGTCTGTCAGTTTTGGACAAATGTAAGTGTGTAGTTGAGAGAACCCAACTAAATTCTCTAATAATCACTGCCACCTTATTAAATCTGATATATTACACTTTGTAATCAATGAGGAGAGTGAACAGGTAAACTGGGCAGACCTCCCTGGGAGAAAGACCCCCTTAGAATGATCTAGAAATGGCAAGATAGGCACAATGATAACTGGTTGAGTACCATAGTAAATGTAGTTTACAAACATCTCAGCTACCAAGGCAAGCAATGCATGGATTCGAGAGACCGCCCTGAATCTAGCATTGGGCTTCGGGAGATGACTTTATGGGAGCTAATGTTCAGCAACATATTATGGAGGGTGTGAAATACTGTCTATATAGAGATATGGATTGAGGGCCTTGTAAAGTGTACGGTGTGACCAGGGGCTGGGAGCTAAAGTTTGAGTGCCTGGTAAAGTTTACAAGGGGCCAGGGGTGGGGAGTTGCAAATTCAAGGCCCTACAGTGTGGAGGAGAGCGTGCAAAGACCCTAGACCTAGAGACATAAATGGGCAGTTGGTTTGCCAAGGCAGGGTTGTGCAGAGTGGGGGGGGAGGGAGAAAATTTATCACAGTACTCACCATGTCAGTATAGATTTCAATTGCTCGGAGCAGACAGTTAATGGCCTCTGAAGGAATCAGAAACAAAGAATAAGTTAAGAGAAGATTTGCCAACAATTTACCTCTTCTGGACACAATATCAACAAACAGAGTAAGGCAGAAAACTTTCAATACCAACGATACCAGCCAGGCCTAACAGTTACTTGCCAGTGCAAGCCTCGCTGGTCCATGGCACACTCACCAATATTCAATTGCCAATAGCTAGCAGAGAGTGGAAATTCTGAACCTGATATAGACGATACAACATCAAATAACCAGGTCACCCAGAATCTCACCTACCTTGGGGGTCAGATTTCTTGAAGGCGTTTCCTGCGTCCACGAAGTTGGTAGCCGCATCATGCTTGCTTTGGACCTGTAGATGGAGCTGTGCCGCCTGACAGAAGGCACTGCCAGCCGCTAAGGAGAGGAGGATATGGTATTACTGAGCAGGCCGAATCCTGGGGAGTGGCAGTATTAACAGATCAAACATCTGTCCAACTAGACATTTTCTAGAAATCTAACAAAAAGGGACATTTTATCGAGACAACTACAGCGAATAAGGGACAAAGGCCATTGATTTCCACAGTGATTGTAAAACCTCTAAACTAAAATCCCTGTTATGAACCAGTTCCTATAAAAGTAGATTTTTAAAATAAAATTGTGACATGTCCATGACACAATCACCACAGGTGAATTTCTACTTGCCTGGGCAAAATGATCACTCACCATTGGCTAGTGGAGACTGGAGATTTTAACAACTTATTTATTATTAATAAATATATAAATACATTTTTTTTTTTTAAATCTAACATTCTTCTCTGGGAATTGAGCATTGACTCTGCACGTAATATGCCACCTACCATTCCAGTTCTTCACCATCTTAAACATATTGGCAGCGCGGGTGTAGAGATCGCAGGCCTCTTCCACCTTCGATGATCCCCTGAGAATTTTAAAATAAAATTGAGAAAAATAAAATTAAAAAAAATCAGACACCACAAGAGCCAAAATGGAAGATAACTACAAATTTTTTTTATTTTTTTTTTAAAACGCAGAGACTTACAAACGGAAAGTAATTTTTACACATTAAGAACATAAAATGCAGTGTGTATAGAAGTCTTATACTTTAAATAAACTTACAGATTACTCAGTACATAAACACATTGGGTTTTTAATGAATTAATTTTTAGTACAAATGGCACTACAAGGTCCGGATGTGTTAAGAACACTTTGTTTATAAGGAAACTACTTTTCCAGTACATGAGAACAGGCATCCCCACAAAAAAACAAAATTGAAGAAATGATCAAAATACCAAAACTAAAAACATTAAGAGACACTCCAGACTCCTACACCATTTTCATGCATAAGTGCTTTAGGGGTGTTTAGGAGCTCCCCCCCCCCCCCTTTATTCCTGTTTTATTAAATGCTCATTTCATGAGAAGGGGCCCCCGGCTCTCAAGCTGACCACCACAAGGATGCCTGTCTCAGGACGACAGAACTATAATCCTCTTTTTTTTAAATCTTTTGTTTTTCATGCGGAGAGAAAATAAACACACATATATGACCACAACAGCCAGTACACGCCAATCAAAATCAGTTCACATTAAGTACACAGCATGGTAAGGTACAATTCCCACATATTTTATAATTATAGTGGGCTGTTTTAATCACTTGCTCTTCTTTGTATTATATTTAAAGGAACACTATAGGGTCAGGAACACAAACATGTATCCCTTACTCTATAGTGTTAACAGCTCTATCTAGACTCCCCTCCCGCCCATTCCCTACCTCCTAAATATAGTAACATCTTACTTTTTATTGCAATCTGCTGCTGCTGGCTCTGCCCCTGATCTGCCTCCTTGGCAGACATCATCAGAAGTGATGAATAAAGCCAATCACAGAGCATTGGATTGGCTGAGACTGCCAAGGAGGCAGATCAGGAGCAGAGCCAGCACAAGTCAAAAATAACTCATCATCTCATTAGAGATATACATTGAATCAATGCATCTCTATGAAGAAAGTTCAGGGTCTCCAAGCAGAGGGTGGAGACACTGAATGGCAGTCACACTGTGCAGCACTGCCCCAAGAAGCACCTCTAGCAGCCATCTGAGGAATGGCCAGTGGAGGTATCCTTAGGCTGTAATGTAAACACTGCATTTTCTCTGAAAAGTCAGTGTTTACTGCAAAAAGCCTGAAGGGAAGGATTCTACTGAACAGAACAAAGAATCTGCAGTTGCTCTCATGACTATAGTGTCCCTTTAAGCTGTGGAAATGTCTCTACATGTAATCTGGCAACTAAATAAAATAATTTCTGTAAAATTTTGAGAAATCATCCAGCTTTTAAAACTAACAAGATTATGTAGTGAAGTGAATTTCAAATTTAAGCTCAAAATTGCTCAAAATGGAAATAATCTCAGTAAGCAGTGCTTTAATTTTGCCTTAAATTTGAAAATCCCTTTGAATTCTCACTATAGAAGATAACTGCGCTGTGATGGATGAGGCAATGCATCAAAGCAGAACATTAGTGATAACCAAGTTATCATTTACATAAAAGGTTAAAAAGATAAACAATGGAGCTATATTTGTAGAATTCATTAATTTAAACTCCTTTCAATTAGGCCTGAGAAGACAGAAACAACTCAAATAAATCAATTATATCAACAAGATGGAGTCCACAAAATATCCCTGAATCCCTTCCCTGGCCTATTCCTCCCTTTCAGGATGTACTTGCAGGGATTTGAGACTGGGCATCATGTAATCCAGGATTTACAGATATTGTTACTGTCAGTATATTAGCAATGTAAACACTCACTCACCCAAACAGCCCAGAGAAGAAAGACTGGGAGGATTTCACCTTCTTGTCAGCCTCAGCCAAGAGCTGCAGAGCCTCCTTCTCCTTCCCTGAGTTATCCATGGCCAAACCTGGGGAGACAAACCTGGTAACAGCTGGGCTGGGAGGCCGGGGTACAGGGGGTACAGGAGAGGCCGGTTATGGGGGGCAGGGGAGGGGGTGCAGGGGAGGCCGGTTATGGGGG